CGCTAACACTATCGGAAGTCGCCAGCGACACTGATACAGTGATCAGTAAAAATCGGTTCACTGATCAGTGACACTGGTGACAGGGCAGTGATTGGGTTAACTGGGGGGGGAGATTAAGGGGTTAAATGGGATTACTGGTGTACTAGCGGACAATCTAGCGCTATCTGGGAGGGGCGCTAACACTATCGGAAGTCGCCAGCAACACTGATACAGTGATCGGTAAAAATTGGTTCACTGATCAGTGACACTGGTGACAGGGCAGTGAAGGGGTTAACTGGGGGGGGGGATCAAGGGGTTAAGCGGGATTACTGGTGTACTGGCGGGCAATCTGGCGCTATCTGGGAGGGGCGCTAACACTATCGGAAGTCGCCAGCGACACTGATACAGTGATCAGTAAAAAAAATCGGTTCACTGATCAGTGACACTGGTGAAAGGGCAGTGATGGGGTTACCTGGGGGGGGAGATTAAGGGGTTAAATGGATTACTGGTGTACTAGCGGGCAATCTAGCGCTATCTGGGAGGGGCGCTAACACTATCGGAAGTCGCCAGCAACACTGATACAGTGATCGGTAAAAATTGGTTCACTGATCAGTGACACTGGTGACAGGGCAGTGATGGGGTTAACTGGGGGGGGGGATTAAGGGGTTAAATGGGATTACTGGTGTACTAGCGGGCAATCTAGCGCTATCTGGGAGGGGCGCTAACACTATCGGAAGTCGCCAGCAACACTGATACAGTGATCGGTAAAAATTGGTTCACTGATCAGTGACACTGGTGACAGGGCAGTGAAGGGGTTAACTGGGGGGGGGGGGGGATCAAGGGGTTAAGCGGGATTACTGGTGTACTGGCGGGCAATATGGCGCTATCAGGGAGGGGCGCTAACACTATCGGAAGTCGCCAGCGACACTGATACAGTGATCAGTAAAAATCGGTTCACTGATCAGTGACACTGGTGACAGGGCAGTGAAGGGGTTAACTGGGGGGGGGGGGGGGATTAAGGGGTTAAATGGGATTACTGGTGTACTAGCGGGCAATCTGGTGCTATCTGGGAGGGGCGCTAACGCTATCGGAAGTCGCCAGCGACACTGATACAGTGATCAGTAAAAATTGGTTCACTGATCAGTGACACTGGTGACAGGGCAGTGAAGAGGTTAACTGGGGGGGGGGGCGATCAAGGGGTTAAACGGGATTACTGGTGTACTGGCAGGCAATCTGGCGCTATCTGGGAGGGGCGCTAACACTATCGGAAGTCGCCAGCGACACTGATACAGTGATCAGTAAAAATCGGTTCACTGATCAGTGACACTGGTGACAGGGCAGTGAATGGGTTAACTAGGGGGGGGAGATTAAGGGGTTAAATGGGATTACTGGTGTACTAGCGGGCAATCTGGCGCTATCTGGGAGGGGCGCTAACACTATCGGAAGTCGCCAGCGACACTGATGCAGTGATCAGTAAAAATGGGTTCACTGATCAGTGACACTGGTGACAGGGCAGTGAAGGGGTTAACTGGTGGGGGGATCAAGGGGTTAAACGGGATTACTGGTGTACTGGCGGGCAGTCTGGCGCTATCTGGGAGGGGCGCTAACACTATCGGAAGTCGCCAGCGACACTGATACAGTGATCAGTAAAAATTGGTTCACTGATCAGTGACACTGGTGACAGGGCAGTGAAGGGGTTAACTGGGGGGGGGGGCGATCAAGGGGTTAAATGGGATTACTGATGTACTGGCGGGCAAACTGGCACTATCTGGGAGGGGCGCTAACTCTATCGGAAGTCGCCAGCGACACTGATACAGTGATCAGTAAAAATTGGTTCACTGATCAGTGACACTGGTGACAGGGCAGTGCAGGGGTTAACTGGGGGGGGGGGCAATCAAGGGGTTAAAACGGGATTACTGGTGTACTGGCGGGCAAACTGGTGCTATCTGGGAGGGGCGCTAACTCTATCGGAAGTCGCCAGCGACACTGATCAGTAAAAATCGCTTCACTGATCAGTGACACTGGTGACAGGGCAGTGAAGGGTTAACAGGGGGGGGGGGCGATCAGGGGGTTAAATGTGTCCTAGAGTGTTCTAACTGTAGTGTAGTGCTTGTGTACTCACTTTTTGGATGTCTTCTTCTCTGTCTGGAACGGAATGTGTCCAGGCAGAGAAGAATGACATCATATCCTGCCCTGTGTATTTGTCAACACAGGACAGGATAGGACAGGGACCGATCATGTGATTTCAGCCAGAAATCACTGGCTGAAATCTAATGATTGATCCCTCCTGGATCAAATCGGATCACCCGCGTGTCGGCGGGAGCGCGCGCCTCCTGCCGGCGAAAGTGTCGGGAGCGCGGAACCCGTTTTTAAACGTGGTTTTGCGCTCCACTGCCGCCCTGGACACGTATATACACAGTGGCAGGGCGGCAAGCGGTTAAAGAAGAGTTTATTACCACTTTATTATTATTATACAGGATTTATATAGCGCTTTACAAAATGAAGTTAGATATTACAGTTACCATACAATTTGGTAAGTGGAAACAGAAGTTCCTGCTCGTTAGAGCTTACATTCTACTTTAAATAAATTTTCCTTTGGTACACCAGGAACCACTTGAAATTTGCAAATTGTATGGCCAGCTCTGCACTAGAGGCTAGTGGACAGGAGCTCTCCTACATTAAAAAGTACACCTCTTCCATTATTGGTCAGTATTGAAGTGCCCCCTTACATTGGATGCCAGAGGAAAATTGCCTCCTAAGGCAGTACACTGCTGCTCCTTTTGGCATTTTTTTTTTTCCCCTGAAAGCCCCCGAACTAAAACTCAATAAAAGCCTATGTTTAGGGGCAGTTAAATGTCCCTCTCCTGAATGCAGAAGAATCGCATTCAGGAGAGAAACTCTTTGGCCAAAAAATGCTAAATGCAGCAAAAAAAGCATATAAACATGCCTAAGCGCTAGCCGTGTTTAGCGCTTGGACATTTATTCATTTTAATGGCAAGTACTCTGGCCAATGAAATGGATAGGCATTGGTAAAAGTGGGTACATGAGGCTAAATGCGGCACCACGTTTGCACGAGTTTTTTGCTGCGTTTAGTGTTTTTCTGCTGCTAGTAGAGTTGATGTCTAACGGCGGTTCCAATGTACATGTAGCCTAACATTGCCTATCAGTGTAGGTGGGAGATCAAGACCCACCATTGCTCATAGCTCAAGGAACCCCTAGCAACCTCTGGAGGAACCCTAAGGTTCCACAAAAACCTGGTTAAGAAACCCAGAATAGACGTTTGACTATTCCACTATAAGCTTTTGAACTACATACACAAAAGTATAATGGCACCTCCAGACCTTCAGACTACTGAAAACTGTTTGTGGCTTAGAGAGCTGGATCTACACAGGAGCTGGACCTACCCAGGAGCTGGACCTACACGGAAATGCAGATCTACATAGTGCTCCGGATCTACATGGAGACTTGTATCTAACACAGAGATGTGGAACTACTTGGAGACCTAGAAGTATGTAGAAATCTGGATCTTGGTGAAGAAACTACTTCTATGTGGAGACCTGAATCTTTATGAAGACTTGAATTTACATGGAGACCTGAATCTACGTGGAATGCTGAATCTACAGGAGAGCTGGATTTATGTGGAAAGCTGCATCTAAACCTGAATCTATGTGGAAAGTTGAATCTATGTGGAAAGTTGGAACTACGTGGAAAGCTGGAACTACGTGGAAAGCTGGAACTACGTGGAAAGCTGGAACTACGTGGAAAGCTGGAACTACGTGGAAAGCTGGAACTACGTGGAAAGCTGGAACTACGTGGAAAACTGGAACTACGTGGAAATATGGATCTACGTGGAAATATGGATCTACGTGGAAAAACTGGATCTACGTGGAAATATGGATCTATGTAAAAAAAACTGGATCTACATGGAAAGATGGATCTATGTGGAAAGCTGAAACTACGGGAAAGCTGGATTTACATGGAAAACTGAATATTTATGAAGACTAGATTCTACATAGAGAGCTGGATTTACACAAACCTGGATCTATGCAGAAAGCTGTATCTACCTGGAGACCTGGACCTACGCAGACCTGCATCTATGTGGAGAGCTGCATCTACATGGAAAGCTGAATATACGGGAGAGCTGGATTTACACAAATCTGGATCTACATGGAAAGATGAATCTTTATGCAGACCAGAATTCTACATAGAGAGCTGGATCTACACAAACCTGGATCTATGCAGAAAGCTGGATCTATGCAGAGACCTCGATTACACAAACCTGCATCTACATGGAGAGCTGGATCTACATTGAAAGCTGAATCTACAGGAGAGCTATATTTACATGGAAAGTTGAATCTTTATGAAGACTAGAATCTACATAGAGAGCTGGATCTACACAAACCTGGATCTACGCAGAGACCTGTATGTACACAAAGCTGCATCTATGTGGAGACCTGTATGTACACAAAGCTGCATCTATGTGGAGACCTGTATGTACACAAAGCTGCATCTATGTGGAGACCTGTATGTACACAAAGCTGGATCTATGTGGAGACCTGTATGTACACAAAGCTGCATCTATGTGGAGACCTGTATGTACACAAAGCTGGATCTACACGGGTCGCTATGAAGAGCTGAAATGATGTAGAGACTTGGATCTCCACAAACCAGGATGTAGATGGTGCCCTGATATTTCTGGAGACCGGGACCGATATGAAGGGCTGGACCTATACAGGGACCAGGATGTACACGGAGCTCGGTATCTATATGTAAAGCTGGATGTACAGAGACCCGGATGTCTATGTAGATCTGGGGGTAGTGGTGGTGCTGAGTGACCCCGGAGCCCTCCTCGGTGACACATACAGGACCCCAGTGATCTCCTCCTCCTGTCACACACAGTGCTGCCATGCCCAGCTGATAGAACACAATGCCGGTCCCCTGTCATCCATCACCCGCTGAGGGGAGGGCACAGTCATCCTCCCTTCCTCCTGTCATCCCTACAGACAGCTCGCAGCCCTCACCTCCAGAGTGTAGTTCTGGCTCATCCTGCCGTAGCTCTCCCAGGCCTCCACACGGGCCCTCTCGTCCATGTTAAGGCTGCCGCACAGCTCTTCATAGCGCTGACGGAGCTGCTCCTCTCCGTGCTGGGTATTGCCATCTTCCTCCTCTTCTTTGATCATCTTCAGGCCTTGTCTCTATTCCGGTTCAATCTGCAGATCACACGGCTCCTAGTTTGACACTGCGTAGCCATTTAAATGGCCTGTGAGTGACAGCTGCACGCGGCCATTCACAGCTGGAGATACGCCAAAATTGTATCTAAAGAAGCCCAGACTGAAACAGCACTACGTAAACTACGTATTCCCTCCACTAGAGAAGACGGAGACATGGGGCAGGGCCACTTCTGCAAATGGCGCTTTGTGATTGGACGGTTCTATTAAAGCTAGCTTACTTATTGGCCAGCTTGGCTCACGCGCCCCGTGTTTGGATGGGTGTATTTCGGAGTGCGTAGTCTAGTTGTAATAAACATATGTACAGTAGGGCGGGCCGAGCCGTCCTGTCCCAAGCCAATGGGCGAGAAATCCCGATGTTCTATGTTCGACCGCCAGCCAGTCAGGATACGGAGAGCAGTGTAAAGCCACACCTCTCCGCTCCCTCACAGCGCTGTATAGAAGAGAGGGCGGGTGGCCACATGCAGATCTATATTCACCTCATGCAGGCACGATCGAAAAAGAAGTCAAACCCCCATCCCAGCTCCTCCTCACAGGAGACTTCAGTCATGAAAGTAGAATGACTAAAACCGTGTTGTGCAAAGATGTGAATATAATAAACTCCGAATTGTATTACTAACCGCTCTGTATCTGCCACCCCTCTCTGCCAATCCCTCCACTGGCTTCCAATTGCCCAACGGAAAAAATTCAAAACACTGACATACAAAGCCGTTCATAACCCTGCCATACAAAGCCGTTCACCACCCAAACCGTACTCTCCACTCCTCGCAAGACCTCCTACTCTAGCTCCCTTGTCTCCTCCCATGCTCGTCTCCAGGATTTCTCAAGGGCTTCACCCATCCTCTGGAACTCCCTACCCCAAGCTATCAGGCTATCGCCTACTCTGCTCACTTTTAGGTGCACTCTGAAAACCCATCTCTTCAGGGAAGCCTATCCTGCCCTCAGCTAATAATAGAATCTTCTACTCTTCCAACCACTCCATCCCCCACAGCTAATTACCTCTTGTACCACTATCCCCTCTCTCCTAGATTGTAAGCTCCAAGGAGCAGGGCCCTTTAATCCAGGGGCAGACTGACCATTTCGAAACTCGGGCACTGCCCGAGGGCCCGGGGTCAGTAGGGGGCCCCATGAGATGCCCCTGGTACCTTTTTCATAGGCTTTTTTGAGTTAGGGCAAGGGCACAGGGGCCCCATGATCCCCTATTGCCCGGGGGCCCCATGAGTTGTCAGTCCACCCCTGCTCTAATCCCTCTTGTATTGAACTATATTGTTACTGTATTGTCTCCCTCCATAATGTAAAGCACTGAGCAAACTGTTGGCTCCTGTATAATAATAATAATAATTTCTTTCCCCTAATGATACAAATCCATACCACAAAAACAATTAAAGGGTTCAGTCACCTTACAATTATTTTGCCCATGTATCCCAGTACATGAAAATACTCAAGTTTGGACAGAGACGATTCTTTTCAAAAACATACCGTAGTAGGCCACGCGCAGCCTCTGCCAAGACTGTCCGAAAAACTCCTCGGGAGGCGCCCCTTCAGTCATGCCAAGAGGTGCTGGATATTGCCATTGCCAGAACTCAGAATTGACCCACAGGGAAGAAAAATATATTTGCAATACTACAATTTTGGCCATATTCAATATATATATATATATATATATATATATATATATACACACACATATACTGTATGTTAAAATGCATGTTTATTACAAAATATATGAAAAAATATTTTTAAAAATACATTTCAAATATATTGTATGTCTTTAAAAATACAAATCTACATTTTTGGAATGCAATTACAAATATATGTTAGTTAAAATTTTTTGTATGGTAAAAAAACTGTAGAATATATTAAAAATATATACATATTTTTAAAAATATATTGTTCAGATTTTTTTTAACATATAAAAAAGTAATTTAACATATATTTGTAATTGCATTCCAAAAATGTAGGTGTGTGTGTGTGTGTGTGTGTACCGTGTTCCAAATTATTAGGAAAATATTTTTCTCATTTACCTAAATAATTGATGTAAATAACAGTCAGCATAATTCTCATGTTATCAACTATTAAGAGTACAATTCAGGTTTTATTCAACAAACCTCCTAATGATAACAGGATTTTTGTTAAACATAAAACACTTACAATGCACTGTTCCAAATTATTCCGCACAGTAAATTTCAAAACACTTTATAGGTTGTAAAGAACTGAAAATTGTCATTTGTTGTGTTTGCAGCATATTTACTGAAATCAAAAGCTATTTCAATCAAACTTTTAACAACATTTTAACTTTTGAAACATTTTAAACAGGTCATGTTACATTGTAACATAGGACCCTTTATTTGATAGCAGCTTCACAAGTCTTGCATCCATTGAACTTGTGAGTTTTTGGACAGTTTCTGCTTGAATTTGTTTGCAAGATATCAGAATAGCCTCCCAGAGCTGCTGTTTGGATGTAAACTGCCTCCCACCCTCATAGATCTTTTGCTTGAGGATGCTCCAAAGGTTCTCAATAGGATTGAGGTCAGGGGAGGACGGAGGCCACACCATGACTTTCTCTCCTTTTATCCCCATAACAGCCATTGATGCAGAGGTATTATTTGCAACATGAGATGGTGCATTGTTATGCATGAAGATGATTTTATTACGGAAAGCATAGTTCTTCCTTCTGTACCAGGGAAGAAAGTGGTCAGTCATAAACTCCACATACTTTGCAGAGGTCATCTTTACACCTTCGGGGCTCCTAAAGGGGCTGACCAGCTCTGTTCCCATGATTCCGGCCCAAAACATGACTCCACCACCTCCTTGCTGACGTCGCAGCCTTTTTGGAACAGGGTGGCCGTCCACCAACCATCCACTACTTCATCCATCTGGACCATCCAGGGTTGCACGGCACTCATCAGTGAACAGGACTGTTTGAAAGTTAGTCTTCATGTATTTTTCTGCCCACTGCAGCCATTTCTGCTTGTGAGCATTGGTTAGTGGTGGCCAAATAAATGTTTATGCACAGTTGCAAGACTCTGGAGGACTCTACACCTTGATGTCCGTGGGACTCCAGAGACACCAGCAGCTTCAAATATCTGTTTTCTGCTATGTAATGGCATTTTAGCAGCTGCTCTCTTGATCCGATGCATGGATCTGGCAGAAATCTTCCTCAATGTGCCTTTATCTGCACAAACCCGTCTGTCAGGGATCTCCTCGATCCCTGCCGCGATGGTCCCGGCGCAGGCGCACTGCTCCGCCCTGTACACGGGCACTAGGTCCGGGCCGGCCGCGGCGTTCGAGTTCGCGCATGCGCAGTAGAAGCCGCGGCCGCCCGCACCAATGGCAGCGCAGGGCGGGATATTTAAAGGTCCCTGAGCTGTCATTTCTTTGCCTTCTGGTCTTACCTGCTCCCTGTGATCCTGTACCTGTGCCTAGTAAGTTTATTGACCCGGATTGTTTATTGACCTGCTGATTTCTCCTGCCCAGACCCTTGCTTGCCTGACCTCTCTCCCTGGATGCCCCCCATTAGATCTGACCTCCTGTTGCTGACCTGGCGTGTGACCCGACGATTCTCTGCCTGCTCCCTTGTACCTTACCGTCCTCTACTTTACCGACTCGGCCTGTCTGACTACGCACTTGCTCAGCCATCCATCCATCCATCCCATCGGGGTCACCCGACCTCCTCACATCTGGCTCTCCCTGGTTGGAGCCCCTGGCGAACATCCCTACCACTGACAGGTGTGCTCAGTAGAGGCGACCTGGTCTCGGGGTACTACAAGTCCATCCCCACCATCAGGGGCCCTGGTGAACAAGTACCCTGGGGCTTAGACTCCGCGCTCTGGGCACGCCTGACCAGTGGAGTGCTAGTGGTGCCGCTCGGCGGTCCCTCACACCGTCTGTGCTCTGAATCAGTCACAAATCTCTTAATAGTGCAATGATCACGCTTAAGTTTTCGTGAAATATCTAATGTTTTCATACCTCGTCTAAGGCATTGAACTATTTCACTCTTTTCGGCAGCAGAGAGATCCTTTTTCTTCCCCATATTGCCTGAAAATGGTGCTCTGCTTAATAATGTGGAACACCCTCCTTTAGTAGTTTTTCCTTAAATTGGGCTCACCGGCCAATCTAATTATCACAGGTGTCCGAGATTGTTTTCAGGGATCAAAAGAGCCCTGACACACAATGACATCCATGAGCAGACTGCTTGGACCAACAAGGGGACATACCTCGAAAGCTTGTCCTCAAAATTGTATGTTAGTGCAAATAAAACAAGTATCACGTCAGTACTCAATTGTTTCTAAAATATATTTCAAATATATTTTTCTTTCATAAGGGGAGTGTCGGAGGGATATGGAGTGCGCTGAGTGTGTGCAGCTGTTGAACAGATTAGAACACTCATTCCAGGTTAGAACGCTCATTCCAGGTTAGTGTTGGTTATGTGTTATAGAAGACACTGGTAGTGATAGCAGAATTCAGACTTTACTTGTGTGGCTTAAGTTACAAACATACAGAGCATATTTCTCAGCAGACATATTACTTCCTGAAGAGATGATAGAGAAGAGGAAAGAAGCAGCAAGTTTTACACATACACAACTAGTAACCTTTAGCGTATAGTGCCATCTACTGGTCAAGTGATATTACCACAGAATACTGTATATAGTACGTTATAGTACATGCTGTTGTATTCCCAACAGTTAGAACACTAATTCCAGGTTAGAACGCTCATTAGAACACTAATTCCAGGTTAGAACGCTCATTAGAACACTAATTCCAGGTTAGAACGCTCATTAGAACGCTCATTCCAGGTTAGAACACTCATTCCAGGTTAGAATGCTCATTAGAACACTCATTGCAGATTACAACATACATTCCAGGTTAGAACACTCATTGCAGATTAGAATGCTCATTCCAGGTTAGAAAACTCATTGCAGATTAGAACCAACATTCCAGGTTAGAACACT